AAAATTTAATCAAATAGGGCTCTTTGAGAGCCCTTTTTTCTCGCAAGTGTACATGTGAGAATTTACCCTGTGTGTATGCGTGTTCTTGTGGATGTAGAATAAGCAACTTTAGCAGCTTTGCAGTGAGTCCCTGATGAATGGAATCACCACTTTTGATATAGGAATAGGTATAGTGATAGCAAGGTGGGCTAATGTTAGCACCATTCCAGTATTGACGTCGATACGAGAACATAATCGTACTTCATGGAAACCCGCACTCGTGGCCTTTCCTAAATTGCATAACCTGCCAACACGAAAAAACCCATGCAGCGCTCACACTATGGATTTTCCAAAAGGCTTTAGGTAAAGCCCAACACCAGCATAGACATTTTAGGATGAAAACGTGTTTATAGGTGACAACTCCTTGAAGTTAAAAAATAAATCTGAATAAACTAAAGGTGTTCTGCAAATATGCATTTCAGGGTACAACCCAAAATATCTAAGGGATTTTATTGGGAGTTTTTAGGGTAGACCCAACCAAATAAGTGAATAATCCTGATGGGGAAGGAAAGTAATACATGGATACATGATGGAAGTATAAATATAAATAAATACAATAATCTGTTAACATTATATATTTGTTTCTTTTGATAAAAGGTTTTTCTTGCTTTTGTATTCCAACCACTTTACTCTGCAACCCCTCAATAAAATCTGGTAAACAGTTAACTTTAAAACCCAACTGATTAGTAACTACAGAGTATCTGTGTGTAAAATTGGTGGGAACTGAACTGCCATAAGGCACTATGAAGACCAAAGAATACAGCAGAGAAATCAGCAGGGTTAAATCATTAAACAATATCTCTATATCATCCATTATTATATTATCCAGAATTAGAAAGAGAATTTGGAACAACCTAACTAGAAAAGGCAGCTGTCATTAAATAATGTTACAGCGATTAAAACATGCATGTCAACAGAAGAAGTGGTGTCAGTTAGAGCTGCTGAAATCCACACATCAGGTGAGAGACTCTTTCAAAGCAACTCGTCTTTTTTAAAAGTGTCAAAACAGGAAGGAAGGCTGCAATACGTTTTCTTTGCAGTTTATTACAAAGTATGTAGAGAACGCAAAACACTTAGAAGTTCTTCCGTCAGATTAACCAAAATTGAGCTTTTTGGGCCAACATAAAAAGTCAGCAAAAGCAGGGAAGACCTGTTAGAGACCTGAAACCATTCTTCCCACTTAGCTTTTATGTACTACTTTCTTTTCACCTCATTGAAAGTATCAATGACGTATTATTTTATTGGAGTGCCGCAAAATGCTGCTTATATTTGATGTTACCATATAGAAATCTTAGCTGGACTTGTTATCCATTTTAAATGAAGCATTGACTGGATTCTGCCTCTGTATGGTGATTACTTGCTGATAATACCACATAGTGGGCCAGACGGAGCTAGAAGGGTATTGCTTTTGCAAACAATAGACAGTTCTTAGAGTGTGACCCTTGATGACGGCCAGTGAACACGTGCAGGATTCATCATGTGTCACACAAAGCAGGGGTCAAAGCTTAACATTTTATTGGAGAAAACAATCAAAGATTAATACATGATCCTGTGTAGAGATTTAGAGCTGGTTATGAAGCCTTAGAGAAACCGGTTCTTAATGACAAATAGATCTAAAACATTGAGCCAAAGCAGGAAATATTAAGGTTAAAACTAATAACCTGTTTTTATTATACATACATGGACAGTATTTTATTTTCTTAGATGCTTCTTTAGCAACATTTGGCACGATATTATCTCCCAATTTTAAAAGTATACAATTCTTTATTAAAAAAATAGAAACATAATTTCATTCAGTCTTATGCCCTAATGTTGGCCTTTTGCACAGTTTTGGCATTTTACACAGCATATCTCTGTAAAAGGTTCCATTTTGTTCCATTTTTCTGCGTCTACATCCTGACTTTTTTTGTAAATGCTAGCTTTAAAGTCATGGTCATTTATTTGATCTTTAAAGGTACAGAAAGATTGAATAATTCAGATAATTTTACTCAGAGCAGATAGTAAAGTGTTTCCCATTTTGCAGAAAGATGAACAATTGCATCAAAATGGAGCAAGAAGTCTGAGACATCTTAGATAAGAAATCCTAATCTGAATAGCCAGAGGTTCAATGGTTGAGGGCAGCTGGATTAGGCCCCAGCTTTGTCTGTGGAATTTCCTTTTGTGTAAGCGATCAAATGAAACCAGCTGCAACTTAACACAGGAACAAATCCCCGGTTACTGACAGATGCCGATTCCTTTGTAAAATGCAAGCTGTCTTGCATTCAGCAGAAGGTCCTTCTGTTTGGTTAAATTTAATCATTTGAAACTAGCAACTGAAATCAGGATTGTGCATCTAATTTGTTTCCAAGCTAGGATATGATACCTGCTGTCAGAGAAACCGGAAATTGTTTCAACATGACAAAGTTGCCACTTTGAGCTGTTCCTCTGTCATACGTGAGCACTTCCTCTAAAGTCCTCACCCCACATGAAGAAATGATTTGTAACTCATGCATCATTTACCATAATCCACTTCCTCATTGTTGATGAAAAAGGGATATTTTCAGGATTTTATTTTTTTTCTACATTTTCTTATATTTTTTTACTTTCACCTTCACTGAAATGATATTGCCTGAGATTTATTGGCACCGAGGGAATAATCCCATTATTACCAAAATGACCAGCAAAGTTACGTGACTGGCTTTTACTCATTGAAATTACTGACCCAGCACTGCCTGGATTAACCGCAGCTACTCTACACTGCTTGCTGATGTGATGTAACATCATTCTCATTAAACTGTCGGAGATGATATCAAACAACATTTCAATTACAAACCCTAAACTGAGCTGTTCCTGGAAGTGCTTCGCTGTTGTGTTTTTTAAGACGGCCACAAAATGCACACTTAAGCATTTGTATTTTTCCCTTTCAAAGCGATACTGCAGCAAAAGACACAGCCAGTTGCCTCACATCCTGTGTTTTGTGAGGAAGTGGACTAGTCAGCTCATCAGCCAGTCAGTCTGAGAGTTAGTTAACACATCGTTGTCAGATCAGTGAGGTGAAGGCGAGAAAAGAGCAGGGACTGGCTGCAACAGCAAGAAAACAAACAGCTGAAAATGTTACAAAGAGCAGCATCAAATGTGTCAGACAAAGCAAGGAGCAACAAACCAAAGGTAGGTTAAACACACTAAACCTTGCTTAGAATGCTGGTGGAACATCATGAGTAAAAATGAGTAAAAATCTACTTTTACATCAACTTAATAACACACTGCAAAAAAAGATCTAGAAATAAGTCAACGTTTCTTAAATCAAGTGTATTACCCTTTTTTTGAGTAGGTAAATAAGATGATTTGCCAATGGAATGAGTACTTTTACTCAAATAAAATAATTAGATAATATTCACTTTAAATAAGAAAATACAATTAGTTTTTCTCCTTTGAAATGTAAATTGTCTTATTCCATTGGCAAAGTGTCTCACTTACCTCCTCAATTCAAGTCAAAATACACTTATTAAAAAAAAAAAAAAATGACTTATTTAGATTTACATTTCTTCCAGTGCAATTTTTATCTCACCCTTAAAAAATGTATTTACAATCAAGCATTGTCTGTTTTGCTGTCAAATCAAGATGTGAACAATTATTGACAAACAGATTTTAAGAATGGGTCCTTTGTGAAAACAATTTGTTCTGCTCATGTCATCGCTGCACAGATCTAAGCAGTTTCAATCCGTTGTTAACTCAATCTCCCGGACGGCTGTCTAGGAGGGTAGAGCTCATATTTAACCAGGATTTTCAAGGATTAATCATTTATATAATTATTTTGGTGCTGTGGTCAGGGGATGATGTGTGCCAGCGGGATAGTTTTGGAAGAGATTATGATGACTATTAGTTTTATGAAAAATTGGGAGGGCCAGAGACTGTATGAACAACTGTTTGTTTTAAATCTGCAAATGCTTCTTCAAAGGAACACGTAAAAACAAATGATGTAAAAAGAAAAACCTAAATGTTTTATATGCATATCTTTAAAAAAATAATCCAGCCTTTTGCTAGCCAGACAATCATAGGAAATAGATTCACAAACAGGTTTGTTTGTTTTTTTCTTTTAGCGTTCTACGAGCTTTGGCAGATTCGAGGGCCTCAGACACCACTCTTCACATGCCAAAACAGAGGAAAATGGGACAAACACGGTTGGTGGACGACTTTGTTTTTCTCTGCAGTCATATTTTAAACCGTAATAATAATAATAATACAGAAAAAATATAGATATAGATATTATTGCACAGCTTTTTTTTTTATTTGCAAGTCATTCTTTTCAATCAGGAAAGTAATGTGTGTTTAAGGACCAGAAACACAAGTGGTTTGTTAAATTTCCGTTTTTTGTCTGTTCACCTTAACCTTCGCAGGTCAGAGAAGAGTCTGATAGTCCAGACCCTGCAAGATCAGCAGGGCTCGGCAAAAAGATGAAAGAGATCTCACTAACCATGAGGAGAAAAATGGGCAGAAAGCACATCAAGTCTCTTTCAGAGGAGACAGTGAGTCACTTTTAACTAACTTTCACTAGCTAAGATGCCTTTGATTTCATGTATATTAGGGGTTCAGCTGACACATAACCAAAAAACCCCCTCATACCTGCAGCATTTACGCAGCCCTGCAGTGTTTTTTATCATCCTCATCTCGTACAAACCCACATCCTCACGCGTGACGCCAACCTTGTCAACAGTAAAATGCAGCTTTTTATTCTGACCTTCGCAAAACTAGAGAAAAAAAAAATCCTCTTTCCGCAAGTTTCACTGTCACGCAGATTATGAGATGAGAACAGTTGCACAACCTCTGTCTTTATGTGATCATTTTAGAGTGTTTCTACTCTGAGCTCCTTCTGATTTCTTTTGTCATTCGGTTTGATCCAGGGGGATGACACAGACAAAGACCCAGAGGCAGAAACAGACAGCAGTCCACAGGTGGAAAAAAGCTCTGCAAAGACAAGCAACTCATTGGAGAGTCTTTGCAGCGGCCAGAGCTCCTCCAGTGAGTGTCTGCATCTGATCATCATACCATGATGCTTAAGAACCGGAGCTGTGTTTTAATCATGTGTTTTCCCTTTCAGGTGGCATCACCAGCGAGTCCAACGGCTCCGGTCAGAGAGACAGTCTGAAGCTGGAGGAGGACGGCTCTTATCAGGGCCAGTTCTGTGGTCGGGCTCGGGTCCACACCGATTTCGTTCCCAGTCCGTATGATACAGACTCACTGAAGCTGAAGGTAGATTCCTGTTAAATTCTCCAGTTTTGACCAACAGATGTTGAGACTGGAACAGAAAATAACTTTCTGATCTTAACTGGTATTTTACAGGCTGGTGACATCATCCACATTATCAGCAAGCCTCCGATGGGCATCTGGACTGGCATGCTCAACAACAAAGTGGGGAACTTTAAGTTTATCTACGTGGATGTTTTGGAGGAGGAGAAGGAAAAGGAGGCAGAGGAGGAAACCCCAAAGATCAGACAGCAGAAGCTGTGCAGGAGGCCACGACCCAAAACACTGCTGGAGTTACTGGAGCGGCTGAACCTAGAGGTTAGGACAGGTTCTAAGGAAGTTTGTTATGATGAGCCAAAACTAAATTATGGATTTTTATTTTAGGAGATTAAACCAGACTTTTCAGAAACAAGTCAAATCAAAGCTTGATCTCACAACTTTTAATTTAAATCACAAAGACATTAAAGGAGTTTTTTGGAATTTCCATGGCTGTCAAAAAGGTTTAGGAAGCAAATGACTCCATTAACCACCTTATTTAATATAAATCTAGATTTTTAAACTTTCCTAATTGCATAATAAAGAGATTTCTTATGTCTTTGTCCCTGAGGCTGAAACTGTGAGACCAAAGCAAACGTTTACCACATTAAAAGTACTCCTACTCATTGCAGCTTAAAGAAAGGATTTTTTATGAATCTTTGAACCTTTGTTAGGTTTGCATCGGATGACTGTTCACTCATGCTACAGATATTTACACGTTTGACGAAAGTCACATAAAACGACCAGGCTTCTAGCTAGCCTTAGCAACATACCGTTTTTAGAACAACCCTGATGTGAAAAATCTTATGAATCTTTTAACCATGACCATTTATAAATAGTTAACAGAAACTAATACTTACTCACAGCAATCCTTGGGTATGAAACATGTTTTGAGAACAGATTATGAATGTGTATTTACTGTTCTCCTTCTCACTACCGTATCAATACCATGCCCTCGATTAGTACTTCATCATAAAGTACAATTGAGGGCCCCCGATTATAATAAGTGTAATAAACTAAAATGTGTAAATGTCAGAGGTTTGCCTTATGGATTTGCCTCAGACTATCAATTTGTTTTAGACTTTAGTACTAACTAACTAATCTGGATTTATGCTAAAGAAGTCATTTGGGTTATCATCTGCAAACTCCTTATAAGCTCCCTTTGAAATATCCCTTCAATTGCTTGTTTTGTTTCAGGAGTACGCCTCTGCCCTGCTGCTGAATGGCTACCAGACAGTAGAGGACCTGCTGCACCTGCAGGAGAAGCACCTGATAGAGCTGAATGTCAAGGACCCCGAACACAGGCGAAAGCTTCTGGCCGCAGCCGAGTGCCGCTATGTAGAAGGTCAGGAGCAGCCCACGCATTCATCACCTCAACATGACTCACTGATCTTAAAGACCTCCTAACCTTCAGAGCCTTTCTCCACCCACATCCAATGTTTGAAAACTGCAGGTAAAGGAGGTGACGCCTGGCAGACCAGGGAATCTGTGGGATGTGAGGGCTGGACGTGGTCTAGGTTGTCCACAGTAAATAAATGCAAAATAAATAACTGAACGCTAAGCTAATAAATCGCAAACCTGAAAATCATTAAGAAGTTTAGCGACAGCGCAACTCAAACCCTCTACAGTGCCATGTATTAGACAGAGGTGCTTTTATACCTCAGCTGCTGACGTCAGTTTTTTGGTTGATGTTACAAAGTTTGGAGCTAAAACCAGCAGTGAATCAAAAATCAAATGCAGTACTACAGTTAGGCATGAGGGCGGCGCCACATATACTATTCAAGACAAAAAAGGAGGCTTAAAATAAATGTGCAGCAAATTGTAAAAATATTGACCTGGAAATGTTGACAGCATTATAAGACATCCATCTATACTGGTTATTTAAGAATAAAAAGAAATAAAAAAAAAGATGATTTGGGGATGGCAAAAACCGTATTGAAATCAGCAACCGGCTGGTTTCTTTTATTCCTGTTGATAAAAATTTTGTTTACACAGTCACCATAGAGCTCAACAACATCGCCGGTAACCTTGCAGTTCTAGAGCATAAGAGTCATAGGGATGAATTATCAAAGGTAATTCTAAGATTTTCTCCCTTTAGTGTTTTGGTTTTAACAATCTTAGCTTGTTAAAGGTGAAATTTACAGTAATTAGACTTACTAACATAGAATAAGGAGAAACTACTTCTTAATTAGAAAAAGCTTTTTTTACTGAGCTGTAAAAAAAGAGAAAAAAATAGTGTAAATCTACAAGGCAATGATTCAAATATATTTAGTATGTTTGGAAAACAAGCAAGAGTTCATGCAGTTTCAGTGTTTATGCCTTTGACCAGCCTTTGCACGACACCAAGGTTCTCATTACCTTATCAGAAACTGTTTTGTTTCGGGAGAAGAACTAAAAAAAATTCCATGTTTTAATCATCTCTAGCTTAGACCATGCCCCGGCCTGCGTGCCACTCTGCACACAGCTTACCGGTGATTTCCTGTCAGTCAGACAGAAAGTGCTTAACAGGACAGAAGGTGTTCCTGTAATCTGCCATCTCAAGCCAGGAGGGCTGATTATCGCCCAGCTTTGAATGAGAGCTGAACTTGCACTCACTGCTGAATCAGAGAACTAGAACATTCACTAGTGGGGGGTCGTGGCATCCTGATGGAGATGCATTGAATGTGATGCAGAGAAGATGTGAATGAAGCAGACTGGAAGCTGCTGCTGGTTGTTTGTTTGTATGTTTGTTTGGGTGAGAGATTGAGCCCCAACAGATGGCGGCTGCTGCAGAAATGACCCTGCCAAGCCTGCTGATGTGGATGAGAGGGCACTAATTTAATCAAGCTGTGCTCCATTAGGTTAGCGCTGTGGTCAGGGGGATTATAGGAGCTTCTGACAAACTAAAAAGTGGAGGAATGGTCCCTGTTTGAGAAGAAGAAAAAAAAGAAGCAAAAGGGGGATAGGATAGCTGATGCATTTTCTACTTGGTCGTGAGAAGTTTTTATTTGGATCTTTCTTCAGTCAAAGTCCAATCAACATAATTTCGGGGTATTTATTTTTTTTTAATTTGAAAAAGAATTGTTTCTACTGAGAAAAAGCTCAAATGAAAAGTTAGAGATTAGCGATCAGTTTCCACTCACTTGCCACAGTTGTTATCTCCTCCTATGTGGGCAGAAAACGTTATCTCTAACATGTTTTTTCACTAATTTGTTTTTATTTGCGGATGCAGGTGATGATACGAGCAATGCAGAGGAGCACAAATCCTCCCAGCAAGAAGAAGACAGCGACTGTCCCAGAGACTCAGGCTGCTTCATCCCGTCAGAGTGTTCGGACACTAAGGAGGACGTAGAGCAGCCTGTAGACACAGGGGATGCATGAGGCGCTCGTCTTATCGCACAGTTTCACAATGATTCTGCTGATGAATTATAAGAATCCTCTCAACATGTAATGTTTACACCCCCTGCTCTGACTCGAAGTTTGTATAACGTGAGAACTCCTTCAAAGGTCACTTAAGGAGGATAATGTCGCCAAAATGCTAAATATCATCTCATCCTTTTGTTGCTTTATAAAAGTAAATGTTCCAAAGTTTGTTGATTTAGATTTTAAACAAATTACAGTATTAATTTGAGTCAGTTATATTTATTACATTCCAAATGATCCAATATTTTCTTTGCAATTCTTAAAGCCTTTATTTATCACAGATGCATCACTTTTATATTTCCCCTCTCAGTTTTTCTTTCCTCTGTATGTAGTGGTTCGAGTGAAGATGTTTGGATGATGGCATATATATATATATATATATATATATATATATATATATATATATATATATATATATATATATATATATATATATACACTGTACATATTAACAAGTGTTTTATTTCTGAGCAAGACTTTGAATGAGAGAGTGTGTTTATGTATCTGTAAAAGAGTAAACCCAATACGCTACTTAAGACATCTGTATTTATCTAATTTCAAAACTGTCTGTATATAAATAAATAAAACAGTTACCTATACTATATGAACTTGTGATTCACTTTTCCTGTAGCTTGCTTTCTGATTTTAAAACACAAAACATAATTGTTATTAATTATTATTATTATTGAACTTTTGATAATTTAATCGAAATAATAGTTATAATGACTGACTGCATTAATATTGTATCATTAATTATTACTATGAATCCTAGTATTAATCATAGCAGGAAAAGGCAGGGGAGATGTAGTGTAGGTTTGTAGTGGTTGCAGGTGTTTAAAAGCAACCAAAATATGTTTTTTTTTTTTTAATATGGCGAATAGAACTCAACAATATTGCAACGTTCAAAGACAAGAGGAAAGCTTTAAAATATGTTTCCCCTCAAAAATGAAAGAATGTTTCCCAATTAGTAACATTTCCATAATTAGCTTTACATCATTTTTTCCAGGACTTCAAAGCACGATTTTCCCCCCACTTTTCTGTATTTAGGTGTAACCCGTGACTGAGGGGGAACCTAAATTACATGCAGACGTGGGTGGAGTAAGAGTCACTGCCTCAACATAGTATTGTGAAATTAAGTAAAAATTTGCCACCTAATAAATTACTCAAATAACGGCTATGTAAACAAAACTACTCAAACACTGGGTGAATAATAGTTGCTCAGGATTTAATATTTAATAATATTCAATAAAATCCATCTCTATAATACTTAACTGATTCCAAAGAATCAGTTAAGTATTATAGAGTATTATATTAATATTTCAACCAATATTAAGACCTTACTTAAGCCATGCCTAACCCTAACATAAAAGTTAATTTACACCATACCTCTGGACTGATTCCCCAGAATAAAAAATGGAGGTTCACCACATTGGGAACAGCCTTCGGTCCCCACAAGCCCTGCTGGTCATAGAAGCAATGACAAAATTGGTTAGTTTGCTAGAAGAGAATACTTTTCAGAAGATAACTGTTCAATTAGTGCTAAACGATAAAGACAAAACTTATATTTTATTTCCTCTTTCCAATGATCATCATTCTAAATGAATCTCACAAAGAGATGGGTTAAAGTATCCACTACAGGTTATGGAAAAACAGCAGGTTCGAAAACCAGTGACTTCTGATGCATTTATATCATGCTTGAAAAAGTTCAATTTAGGCAACTAGATGTGAAGTTTTCTAGAAGACATTTTGCCTCTCATCTAAAAGGTGTCTTCTCTTCTAACTACTGGTGGGGTAGTGGGGCTGAGATTAATATACTGTAGGTCTAACAAATAATTAGGGCGGACAAAAGGTGGCTTTGATCCCTCCCTCTAGATTGGCCAAGAAGGTCAGATGGGGGGTTCTGATGGGTCGTTTACTCCTTCCTCAGAAAGTTTTCGGTGACATGCCTCATTTAAATGTGAGTCAGGTAAGGGCGGATGTGAGGGGAATCTTCTGGGTATTGTTCCTAAAAGTGCTTTGTAGGTGGGTGAAAGGTTATGTCTGTGATCACCTTTACCTCCTCTGTTTTTCCAGGTTGACAAAGCTGGCTTGCTTAACGCCTCTTTCAAACCATCTCTTCCTTTGCAGGAATATGGACGTTGCTGTCCTCAAACGAGTGCCCTTTAGCCTTTAGGTGTAGCTGAACCGTTAAGTCCTGTCCTTAGGAGTTGGCCCTTCTGTGCTGAGCCATGCACTTGTGCAGCGGTTGCTTGGTCTCTACAATGTGCAGGTCTGTGCACTCTTCAGTACACTGAACGGCGTAAACCACGTTGTTGGTCTTTTTTCCGGGTGTGCTGTCTTTGGGGTGACCACAGAAGGAGGATGACAGAACAGGGACACATTTAGACATCCCAGATGGGGTTTTCTGAAAACCAACAAGAATAGGTCTGCTGATAAGAAATAAAACAAAAGAAAAAATATCTTAATTCCCTGTGTTCCTGCTACGCCTCGTCCCAGCCCCTCATTTTGTTGTCTGTCCCCTTCCTACACATAACTTATTCCCCCTAGGGAGCTTGGCCCCCAGACCCAGTAGAATAGTGTATGTATGAGGAGTGTAAGAATATGTTTAGTGTCTGCCTCTGTGTATGTCTCTGTTGAGTGCTGGTATATACCTGTATGGATGTAAGGGATGGATCTGGTAAATATGACTGGATGAATAGTCTACTTGTGGATGGCAGATGATGATGAGCAGAGCAGTATTTATGTTTAACCATCTGGAAAAGATTGTGTTTTTATGGTTGGGAAACATCACTAGATGCGCTCCGGCACTACCATCCATGTTTACTTCTGTAAACACAGAGCATGCTGGCCTGTGATGTCACTGCGTCCTCTACTGCGCATGCGGGACACTTGCATTGTATGCTTGCAGTTCACACATGAGATCACATACAAGTCACATATATTTGGAAATGTGAACGGAAACGCAAAAAAAAATCGGATTTCACAAAAAAAATCAGAATTGAGCATCAAGGCCTACAGTGTGAACGTAGCCTTTGTCAGCTGGCAAGCCGATGGTTCGTTAGGTGCTGGGTTGGGCACTTCAGTGGGCGCTGTCAAATTACTGGTGGCTGTCAGGCCTTGCTTGGGCCTTGTGGACCTGGGGGGACTCCACCTGGGGGGGTGCTGTACCCCTGGATCTCGAACCTCTGGGTTCTCAGTTGGGTTCACCTTTGGCGTGGCAGTGGAACCTAGGAACTATTTCCTCTATGGTTGGGGTTTGGACTTCGGGGGTCGGGATCTGGGTGCTCTTGTCTGCCCTGCGCTGGTGGATGCAGCCATCCCTATGTCTGCCCTCCTTCTGTCACAGTGATCTGGATATCATGGGTTCATATCTCCTCGTAATCAATCCAGAGGCTCTGTAAAGCGATTCTTTGGCCACCCCCACCTGCTTTTGATTTTTCTTCAGAAGAAGCTTTGTAAATCCTGTAGACTTGAGCATGCACATGCATACGTAACACTGGAATTCGGTTCCAGGTTTTCACAGATACACAGTGATACTAAATAGTCAGCTGCAGCTACAGATATATTGTGTAATCACCATAGGTTTTGCCTTCGACACACGGATATCTAAGGGATACCTACTGCTCTTGAAGCTTTATTTGATGTTTACTTTGGTTGTGTGTTGTCGAATTTTAGCTGTTATGCTCTCTGTTTTGTGTTCCTCTCATCTCAAACAGGTGTGGAAAAACACTTATAGGGGTTACTGCATATCTTCTGTGTTGTCTATTTTTTGCTGTTTTTGTATATTCTCTGTTTTAATGCGTTCTTTCTTGTCTCTGTCTAATTTCTCATTCCCCTTAGTTCATATTGCCTCTTTCTTACCCCCTTGACATCTCCTTATACAATTTTACTCCATAAAAAATTTTCAATCAAGTTTCATGTACAAGGACCAAACTTCCCAGGGTTGATTGACGCTTCAGCCGGTAGTTGAACACATTAAATATACCAGTATGGGACAAGGTAGTGGTACACCAGATTATGCGACTATTCTGTTTGGAATTCAGTTTGTATCTGTTGTAGTTTTGCATTTTCCTGTCTTCCAGGATAAAATTTCTCCCACAGGAAACAAAGTTTTTTCCTTACTAATGCCTAATACTAATGCCTTAGTTACAACCAGTGGCTGAGAAATTACCAATGTTCCTTAGAAATTTTTTTCCAAAAGTGTTTTAAACCTAATGTCAAAATGTGAGCATTAGAAAAATAAAGGCCATTAATATCAACAATCATCAAGTCTCCTGGTAAAAGATAAATACACAGTGAAACAGCACATCCTTATGGAGGAACATGTCTAGTGCAGAAGGATCCCATCTCAACCTTAAAATAATGTTGGCTAAGTAAACATTATGCTGGTAGTTTCATGTTATATATATATATATATATATATATATATATATATATATTGGAGGAGAGTATTTGAACACCCTTCTATTTAGCAAGTTCTCCCGCTTAGCCATTGCCATCTGAAATTATCATTGTGGGTGCATGTCCACTGTGAGATATAATATGAAAGAAAATAAAATCAGAAACCACAATATATAATTTTTTTTACTATTTGTCTATTATAGCTGTATAATACAGTGTATTACCAACGGTAACCTTGGAAACAGTGGTCCCAGCTCTTTTCAGGTCATTCTCCTGCTCCTTCCGAGTAGTTCTGGGCTGATTTCTCACCTTTCTTAGGATCATTGAGGCCCCACACGGTGAGATCTTGCATGGAGCCTCAGTCCAAGAAAGATTGACAGTCATGTTTAGCTTCTTCCATTTTCTAATGATTGGTCTAACAGTGGGTCTTTTTTCACCAAGCTGCTTGGCAATTTCCCTGTAGCCCTTTCCAGCCTTGTGGAAGGGTACAATTTTGTCTCTAGTGTATTTTGGCAGCTCTTTGGTTTTGGTCATGTAAGTAATAGGGTTCTTATTGGTTGTATGGGTTGAACAGGTGTCTTTATGCAGCTAATGACCTCAAACAGGTGCATCTAATTTAAGATAATCAATGTAGTGGAGGTGGATGTTTTGAAGGCAGACTAACAGGTCTTTGAGGGTCAGAATTCTTGCGGATAGATAGGTGTTCAAATACTTATTTGCAGCTGTATCATACAAATAAGCAGTTTTAAAAAAATCATACATTGTGATTTCTTTATATATTATTTAGATTGTATCTCTCAGAGTCTCTACAGTGACAGTTTCAGTCCCCTCCATGATTTCTGTGAGAACTAGCAAAATAGCAAGGTGTCCAAAAATATCCTTAACACAAATACAAATTAATGAATACATCTGCACGAATCTGCTGCTGTGAGTCACAAATTCAACTTTACCAATCACGCCTTCATTTTTACTTTTGACACAAATGTCACACTGGTAAAAATTATGTGACTTGTGGGTAGTACCCTTGATCAGACAGCAGGGGGCGCTACTTCTCCATCAGTCTTTACCAACCGAAAATATATTTATGGCCTACTGCCCTGTATTTTATTGTTTATCTTTTAACTCTTCAATATTATGTTATTCTAACAAATTTTTTCTAAGGTACCCTTGTGTGACCATTTTTTAATTACCCAATCATCAACATCCTTTGTGATGGTGAGCCAATAATCACAAAATAAATAATAATAATAATAATAGAAATACATATTTAAAATTCTAAAATATTGTCGTTTTTAACATTTTTAATATATATTTTTACACTTTTACTGTAAGGTGCCTGTCAGAATAAAAAATAAGTAAAATAAAGAACATAATCGTCTTATATGTGTAATATTCTAGATTTGACTTAAAATGGAAAACACTGCTTTCCATGGGACAATAAAATTGTATTATTGTTTTTTAAACATTAAAACTGAAAAATTGTTAAACTTGCAGACTAAATACATATATAACAAAAAAATTATTTCTGGCTAGTTCATCAAATTTAAATTTACCTCGAATTTTTTTTAACCTGTAAATAGAAAATGTAGAGACATCCTGTTTACTTTTTTCTCTGGAAAAAAGAATCCATATCTTTGAAAAATGTTCCCTTTTCAATGAAAAACTCCAGGTCATAAAAGATTGTAAATGAATCCATTGTGTGATCAGCAATGTTAGAGTGCACAGGTACGTACAGAGAAAATCAAATACTTAAATTTAAATGTGTACACTGTGTGACATATTTGGCATGCTCAGAACAGTCAAAGTAGTGATTGAAAGGCGATTTAACATATTCAATATTTAAGCAAATACAAAGACATACAAAAAGAAACCCCCACCCCTCAAAAAAGACAACAGAATGAAAAAGTAGTTTTAAGTTGAAAGTCTCATTTCCTTTTCTTTTTTTTTTTTTTTTTGAACAAAAAATTACTTACATTTTGAAGTAGGAATCACCACTTTTCTTTCTAACATAAAAAAAGAGAAGACAACATATATTATAAACTTAGATATTGCAAAACAACAGAGATGAATGAATAAATAAATAAACAGGCAGTAATATTACAACCAATGTAAACATACAAAACGTAGGAAAAAAGAAATATTTAAAAACAGACAGCCTCATTCTGCAACAAGACAGTTCCTTACATCACGTTAACTTTAGCATTTTGCTGAATAAAAAAACAGAATTTTGACATGTCACAACATAGTTTTTGTATATGTCCATATTTGTCAGCTAACGGATATAAAGATGACGAAACTCTTATTCCCGAGGTTTTGTAAATGCAAATATTGCCTACGACTCTTATTTCTGTATCTGATTGGCCGAGAACACGGAAGCTGTGGTCGTATTTTATTTCTCTGCAGCAGTTATGGTGGAACTTGTAGTCGAAAGCTACCACGAGCTGAACTGTACTCCTAGCAGTTGGTAATACATTTTGACTACATTACCCACAACCCATAGCTAGTGATGGAACGTTGACGTGTATTTTAGTTCTCTACATCAACTAGTTGAAGCCGGTGTTTCCATTTCAGCGACATTTTTGGACTCCGCAGTAAGCTTTAGCTGTTTGTAACGATGTCCGGGGAGATTTCCATGATCGGTAAGTTTCATAGTTAACCGTTTTACAAGCTCAAACGCATCAGAAGTTTAGCCTCTTGGTTAACTTGTGATTAATTTCGGTTTCGGTGCTTTAGGTTCGGTAATTCTGGCCCTGTTTCTGGCCGGGTATCTGGGCCAGCAGTATTTGCCTCCCCCAAAACCCAAAGTTATCGGCCTGGACCTGGGCACCACCTTCTGCTCAGTGGGGGTCTTCCTCCCTGGCAGCGGGAAGGTGGAGGTGATAGAGGATGAGGAGGGGAGGAAGAGCATCCCTAGCGCCGTTTCCTTCACCAACACCGCGGTGTTAGCCGGGTACGAAGCCATGGATGTGGCGGACAGCAACCCCCAGAACACCGTCTACGATTCCAAGAGATTCATTGGGAAGATTTTTGAAGCTGGACTCCTGGAGCAGGAGAGCACCAGGTACCCGTTCCAGGTGGGTCAAACTGTCTGTTATCACAGTAGCATATTTAATTTGGGGGAGCATCTGTTCAGCCCACTGCTCCTCAGAGGGAATGGGTTAAATGCAGGGGTAAATTTCCCTAATGTGAGATAAATAAAGTTGAATTATTATTATTTGGAAAATGGTGGTGGTAGCATCATAATGTGGGGATGCTTTTCTCAGGCTCTCTTTTCATTTTCTGTTTTTTAATCTATAAAGATTTAGGAATTGGAAAATGTTTTTACTCTCACGCTTCATTTCTGTGCTTTTTTTAATTGGTTTATCTAATAAAATCCAATCGAAGCAAAATATGAAGTATAAAACAACATGGCATTATGATGGCATAATTTTGTTTTGCAAGTCATTATCAGATAAATTAGTGTCAAACTGTACTGAAGAAACGGCCTTTTATCGTCCATATCATCGTCAAGATGACTTTAGTTCCGAAAACTGCTTCTGCTTTTTTCTCTAAAACCTTATTTTCCTCCTCCCCCCCCTTTGCTTTGTCCTTCAGGTGATAAACAACAACGGAAGTGCAGAATTTGTGATCTCCACTAACCACACCTTTACAGTGAGCCCAGAGTTTATCGGCTCTAGGCTGCTGATGAGGTTAAAGAAGATGGCAGAGCGGCAGCTGGGAGTACCCATCCAAAAGGCCGTCATCTCTGTGCCTGCAGAGTTCGACGAGAGGCAGAGGAATTACACCGTCCGAGCTGCTAACCTAGCAGGTGAGCTGCTTTAGAAGGAGGCTTCAGAGTCACACAGGGCACCTCCTTGCTTTATTTCTGTGCGGAAGATTAAAAAAGGGCCGTATGAGTCTGGTTTAATCTCCAATCTTAACGTTACTTAAAATTGCAACACCACCTTTTCTCGGCATGACTTGACAGGTTTGGAGATCCTGCGCGTGATCAACGAGCCCACGGCTGCAGCCATGGCCTACGGCCTGCACAAAGTGGACGTGTTCAATGTGCTGGTGGTGGACCTTGGGGGGGGCACACTGGATGTGTCTCTGCTCAACAAACAGGGAGGCATGTTTCTAACCAGGGCAATGGCAGGTAAATGGGTTCACAAAAACATTCAGCTTAAAGCTGATAAAGTTTTATAAAAAATATTTTTTGTTGCTGTTTAATCCTTTATTCAGACAGGAAAATGCCTTGAAACATAGGCTACTTTCACACTGAGGGTCATAATGTAAAATGTTTTTTTTTTTTTTGACCGGTATTATTTTATTTATTTATTAACAAGTTATCTCAGAAGTGACCAGCATGTGCAGAAGAAAAATAACAAAACATGTCAGAAGTCATTGTCGATGGATTAAAAGCTGTTAAGTAGTTGGATAATACAGCAGATGATGTAGAAAAGGAGACGGTGGAAAAAGGTGCTAAACTATTAATTGTGGGTTTTTAGAAGAGCAGTGGCAGCGCTGAAGAAAACCCAATATCAAGATATATATGGGCTATAATCGTGATACACAATATATATCACAATATGTTTAAATTTGCTTCAATAATAATAGTGTGCAGAATTGCACTGATTACTCATTCAGCTTTTATTTTAAATTTGCAACATTTTATTTTCACCAGCTCAAAGCTTTTTACATATACGTAATACTGCAACATTATTTCTTTCAATGGAAGTATTAGACCTTTAACTAGATCACAGCAACCAAATAGGAAACAAGGCAAAAAACACACACTTAAAAAAAAAAATGCAGAATGAAAAAAGAAATTCACCTCAAATTACAAAAACAACCATTTTTTGTTATAGGAAATAACAAGCTGGGAGGTCAAGACTTCAGCCAGCGGTTGTTCCAGTACACCACTGAGCGTGTCCGGCAGCAGTTTGGCATCACCCCCGTCCTCAAGGAGGACATCCACCATCTCCGACAGGCTGTGGAAGCTGCCAAACTCAACCTCACCCTCCACCCCAGTGCCTCGATCAACGTTCCGCTGCACCTTCACGCCCACGATGCCTCAGAGGACCCCGCTCCCCCTTCAGTTCGCTTTCAGGCGGTGGTTACTCGCGAGCTGTTCGAAGAGCTGAACGAGGACCTCTTCCAGAAGATCCTGGTGCCGGTGAAGACGGTGCTGGCTGAGGGCCACCTCGAGAAAGAGGACGTGGACGAGATAGTTCTGGTCGGGGGCTCCACCAGGATACCGCGGATCAGAAAGCTGATCAGCGAGTACTTTGAGAAGGAGCCCAACACTTCGGTGGACCCTGACCTGGCTGTGGTGACGGGCGTGGCCATCCAGGCGGGCATCATGGGCGGCTCCTGGCCGCTGCAGGTGAGCGCGATAGAAATCCCCAACAGACACCTGCGAAAGACGAACTTCAGCTAATCCAGAGTCAGAGAGAGGACTTCTGATTCCTGTTACTGTGGGAGAGAACAGCGCAACATAGCAGCATCTTCTGAATGCCTGGAAGCTTATTCAGCTTTCTGCTTCCACCGTCATCGGGAAATATTGTCGGTGACAAACAAAACATGATTCCAGCCAAAGTGACTCAAAACATTTGCTTTTGCTGCACACTTTGCTCTAGCAGTAATAACAGTTTGATCAGGTTTGATTAAATGGTGTGTCTGTTTTTACTGCTCTGTAGCATCTTAACCGTCATTCAGGGAGCAGTTAAATACCAGTCAGAACTTTTCTATTTATTTATTTATTCTGTTTTTTTTTCATGAGTTTGTTTTAGTTTTTTACAGATCTGCGCTATTCCATTTTGTCGGAGCCTTCAGAAAGCTGCCAATCTGTTTGAAATGCCTCGCTTCATATTGCCGCTTCACAAACGGATTTAATGGATTTCACTGGAACTTACTGTAATATATGAAGGCATTTATTTTAACGCCCCTCTGCAGAGCGGACAGTTTCAGTCGTAACTTCAGGGTTCTGATGGTTTTCAGGGAACCATTTGGGATCTTTACTTTTAGTGCCATGGGTTACTTGCCACTATGTGAAGTAGAATCGATGCACTTTAAGGACTCAAACCTGTTTGGACTTTTGTGCAATAATAGAACTGTATTTAAAGAAATCACCGTGTCATAGGAGTGGATGCTGAAGCTGGGTTCTGACATTCCTACAGTGACCAAAGTGTTGTTCATCAGTGCCTTGTTTGTACAATACTTGTAGATGTTTTACAGACATTCATATTAAGAACTATACTTAGGCTCCATCTGCATTTAATTTATCTTTAGTCAAACCTTCACTGTCTGCTTTGCCTTTAAAAACATGACCTCAGAAATCACCCAACATTCCTTCTGTAACATTTCCCTGCTTTTTTTTGTGCCAAATGTAGTTTAGAACAAATGTGTAAAATATGCTTTAGTATAAAACCTGTAAAGCTCATATTTCCCTATAGACCTTAGAGCTATTTTTGTACTGGAGGTTTTCAGGATCAAACCAGACATGATAAAGAAGGGAAAGTGCTGTGTTCTACTTTTCCACATATTAAAATGTGATTCTTCATCTATTCTTGAGTTTTTATTCTTAAATGTCATCTGTGCAGCTTGCATCCCACACGTCTGTTATTCTAGCTTAATTCTGATGCAGTGGAAGAAGTTAAACTTCCTTTTGAAGGCTCATAAAGATCTACTGAGAAGTTTATCTACAATCACTAAAAGATGCCCACCTTCATTTTGGGGATTTGGAAGATTTCTGCAAACTGTAGGTTTTCCAGTGGAATGATTGTGCCCAGGGTTTCCGTGCTGTCTAGTACTGCCTTTAAACTTTTTTAGGTCATAAGGATGAAAGCAACATTTTGTTTCCCATCCTGTTGGGTCCATCCTTTTCTCCCTTAATTTATGTCACCTCTTCCTTCCTTTTCTCCATTTCTTGTTAGCCTGCTGTAGAAATATTTTATTTGTAATGCTTTGCCATTAGATTTGATATTGGAGATTTAAACAGAATTAAAGAATTGGGCAAACAGTTTTATTTTACCTACACACATTCATACAGAGCATGACTGAAATACATGCATAAATCTCCTTTAGAAAGTTGCACATGATCAGTAAGTTGATGGCATAATAGTTTCTATTTGCAATTTTTGTGAACTTTAGCAGCGTTTGAGATGGGATCATTAGGGAATACCATGAGGGTGTCCAGGTTTCAAATACTTGTAATAACGAAGCTGCAGCAACACCAGTGGTACTCCCAGTTCATAATTTTATGCTTCAATAAATAGAAAGTGTAAAGAGTAATAAAGAAATAATAAACCTTAATGTTTCCATTTGTCCTCATGTAGAGATCAGATGTCCTGTCTTGCAGGACAGTGACAAAGGAAATATTTCCAGGCATGGAGTTGAGGCTTTTGAACCTCTTGAATATTGCCACATGTGGAGCAACGGGCTGAGGAGAAATTTGTGACATACATGCACTTTACAATTAAAAAATTGAAAAGGAACATTCAGTATATTTGAATTAAAATTGATACAAATGAACTGGTCCAATACTACAGCAGAGTGTTGATGATTGTCGAAGGCAGCTTGATCATGAACAAACAAAACTGAAAAGGGTAATGTACTTTTAGTTGTTAACCTCAAACTACATTTAGACTCAAGTAGCCAGTAACAAATGCAATACAATTGCATCAAAAGCTACAATAATTGTATTAAAATAAATGCATGATTGTGATCATAAAACCTCAAACGAAAACTAATCAATTTTGCATCTAGATGTCACAACAAATCTCTGGAGATTATCTGCACAAAGAAATGTGAAAGTCTATTTCTGGTCAGATATGCAAGAATTTTTGGGGGGGTGTGGGGGTCAGGACTCCAAAGCAGAGAGAAATACACCAATGACGCCTTCTGTGTTTGAATAATGCAACTTTAATTCTCAGGCACACTAATACACAATGTAATAAAATAAAAACAAAAGGCGACCAGTTTCCTGGTATGTTCTGCCCCTTTTAACCTGCAGCATCCCGTCAACGAGCTTCACTTTACATTCCCGGCCATGTTCCCCCGAGTTCAACAGTATTTACACCGACAGTTACATGCACTATCTTTCCCCAACATGAAAATACAACAGAATGAGAGCAAATCTATAGGCCTGCCTATTCATCCTGTAATCACTAAAGTGTCACTTTGTTGATAAATTACTTTTGATTACACATTCATCACAACACTGCACACAAGGTAAAAAACAAAACAAAAAAACAACCCCCCTCCAAAAATAAAAATACGCACAATCCTTATGATACTGAAGAAGTTACAAAAGGAAACAATCAAAATAAACAACAAAAACAGTGAATCTAAATCCTATAACCATTTTCACCTGCTCTTCTGGTTTAACTGGGAGCACAGCTCACATAAAGTCCAGAAGTTTCATACATTTGGATCAAGTGATCATAAGTACGACAGGCAGATAGGTAGCAAAATACTTTACATGCACCGTGAGAATAATCCATCTGGAGGAGAAGGCAAGACATCTGTAAACAGTTTCAGGTTTATATCTTTAAATATAAATATTCGTTTCTTGAACTACAGGCAGGAGCATCATGCTGCAAAAACTTTCACTGAGCTTCAAATAATAATAATAATAATCCGCCACTTTGGAAATTTAGCTTTAAGTAAAGAAGCAGATAAGGGGGCCCTGAATGTTTAGATGCTAAAGGAGAAATCATCAGATTAGACAATTCATTTTGAAATTAGGAGCTTGATAAACCTGTAGTCCGTGAGAAGAAACAGAAACATTATTTACAGTGTACACAGAGCAACTGGATGTTTTTTTTTTTTTTTAATACAACAGTTCATCAGTAGGCCAGAGGAGAGACTTCTCATCACGCTAGAGAACCAGGCTGAGAGTCACTGGCTGATGCTCTGATTAGTGTAGGAGTCGAAGCCATGCTCCTCAAATAGCTCCTCAGCGCTGCCACCGTTCCTCACCTCTAGAGGGCGACAGAGCAAAACCAAAAAGAAAGTCAGCATGCAATAACTACAGCAACCTTTTAATCCTACAAAAATCATGGACTTACTTTTGTTCCCCGGGACTAGAGCTTCTCTAGACAAAAACATCTCCTACACTATGTTGCAGTAGGAGGTTTGGGGAGGCGAACAGACATGGAAGGATGGAGGCATGGATTAAAGGGAAACAGCAGGCAAAGTGGGCGGACAGGTTTAAAAAGCAATGGAAAATGTATGGGTGGAAAAGAGACAGTCACTGCCTGCGAAGAGAACGGATGAGGTAGGATGGTCAGGCGACACGTCACACAAAGGATGCTGGAGGGGGACCCATTACTGGGGTTGAACTGCGACATGGAAGAGACGAGGAGAGCAGCGACAAATCACACACACATGCAGACTGACAGGGGTTCATAGTGCTTTGCTACTGGTGGCTTTAAGTCCAGGAACTCAAATGCATGACTAAACAAAACCACAGTAAGACTCTTACCTGAGAAGATGAGTTTCTCCTTCATGACGTTGATGTCTCGGCTGGACGTCCTGACCGCTGCGCTCAGCATGATCTGCTCAGGATTGTAGCTGCGCATGCCACTCATTCGATACCTACACAGGTCACAAACTCCGCTTAGTAATCACAGATGATTTATATTCAGCTTGGAGTACTTTGCCTCCTTCTGAGGGAAATTATTTGGGAGAAAACTTCAAATTGCTTTGAAATGACCACTGAGCTAGGGTCGGTTTCTTTTGTTCAGAATGTTATCTAACGACAGGTTTGACAAAAGGTAAGCAAAGGTAAGCACCTGCTCTCAGTTTGATCTGACTGTTGGTGAAGAGGAGGGAGTAAGCTTAATAAAATAAAAAATGCATAGGATCCTTCTCCAAAATCATAAATGAATTTTAAACCTGCAACAGATAAAAACCCTCATGCTAATTTTATATTCTAATCAACTGAATTAGCTCTTACAGGTAAGAATGTCAACTTTAATAGTCTTACCCTACAATATCGGTTATTAATTAAACTCCTTCAACCATCTCACATTTTGCCCCGTTACTTCTGAAGTCTTCAGTTGGATTTATTGCCACCTGAGAGACAACAATTTCCATTTTGGTCTAATTTATGTCCTTGTATCCTTTTTTTTTTCCTTCTTTGCTTTCACATAGGTTTTGTTTCTTTCAGCTTTTTTTCATTGTCATTACACTCTAACAAGTACAGAGCAACAAATTGAACTCTCTGCATTTAACCCATCCCCTTGGGGAGCAGTGCATGCCAACGTGCGGCGCCCGGGGAGCAGTGTGGGGTTAAGGGTCTTGCTCAGGGAGCCAGAGTGGCAGTCTGTGGGAGTGGGGCTTGAACTCAGAACCTCTGGATTCCAAGCACATTAACCACTAGGCCACCACTCCCCACTATGTTGTGTGAAATGATGTTGCACCTTTAAATAAAGTCCCAATATACGTTTTAAAAGTGTCCACAGCCCCTTTACAAGAATCTGTATGTGGTAATAGGCATTTGTCAAGTAGAAAAACGTATCTTAAGAACCCTCAGATCTACAAACGAACAAAAGTAACTTGGGCAAATAAAAAGGGCAGTTCTTCATTTCCAAATTAACATAGTCCAATAAAATAAATGCATCCCTGCCAATCAGTCTTCTAAAACTGAAATGGTTCTAGAGAATAAGCAGCTTGTTTAACAACATCTTAACTGGATTTGAGAAAAGACTGACTAGATTAATTATTTATTTGATTTTTACAGTCATGTAGAGGTAGAATTGCTAGCTTTGTGTTCAATCGTTACTGCTTTACCCAATTGTGCTTCATCCTTCAATCTAATTTTATCCTTGAAGATTTTCTGCTACAATGCAGAATAGAGAGTTTCCACACAGGTTGTATTCACTCAGTTAATCATTCTGAGACGTTAAGATTGACAAAAAATTTTAATTGTCATGTTGGTCAAACTTTTTCACAATGTAAGGAGATATTTACCCGATCTAGGAGGTAGTGATAGGCTCTTTGCTGGTTAGCAAGAATATTTATTGAATGAAATTTTTATCACAGGTGTTTTCGCTCAATTTAGAACCCACTAAACTTTGGTTGGTATCCAGGTTTAGGAATATTTGTAGTGGATTCCACCAGAGCCCTAGAAAGAGTAACTACAGCCAATTTAAGCTTCTCCACATCTGTGGAGACTAAATTTGCCCACTTTCTAAAAAAAAAAAAAAAAAGCTCTACTAATCCCATTCACATCTACATACCTGCTTGAATGCAGAAACAGCATTTATTCTTCAACAATAACCTGCACAGAGAAGCTAGCTTTTTTCTTAAGTGTTGGTTTAGTTTTTAGTTTGCAAAATCAAAAGAAAAAGCTAAGGACACAATGGATTACTAAAAATGCTTGTTTTGTTGTTGTTTTTTGTAAACACAGGTGTGTCTTAGCCGTACTCAGAAGCCCTTCCATCTTTGTGTTTATCTGGATCAAGATTTTTTTAAGATTGTGAAAAAGGGAAATAACCTGCTTGACAAGATTTGTGCTCTCAGTGTTCTCTAGTTATAAGATGAAACACTCTTAATGACCAAGTCGTTGCCAAGGTACTGAAGAAATACTTTATAAACATCAGTACCAAGTGTCCTCTCTGTTTTTCAAAGACTAACTAATAAATACATACTTATGAGATTTTTAATTAATGCGATTTGTAGCACATCCAGTGCTGCTTCCATTCAGCAGATAAGTGTCCAGGCTCTTCAAAGAGATTTTTTTTCTTCCACACTATGGTTTCTAATTTACAGAGCTCCTGCTTGATTAAGCAACAATTAAGGAAAGGGCTTTTTGCCAGCAAAGCAATTAATAATGCCATGCATCTACTGAGAATACACTACATTATCCAGCAGCGCTGAACATTTTAATGAGAAGATCTGTGCAGCTGCAGTTTATAGCTCTTCCTGTTTTACTAAGGATTAGCAGTCATGTGGGGAAACATGGCCTTTACAGTAATGAAAAGAGCCTTTTCTAACAAATTTAATTAACTTAAAGGGTATTACTCACAATGAAGTGCAACTAATGAGCAGAGGTTAGAGAATTGAATATAATTTAGATTATCAGCATTAACAAATAAAATTTGTGGGTCCTTTCAAACAAATCAAGATTAATAAAATGCTTATCCTCCATTTAGTCATTATGGTTTGTGAGTTAGAGTGATAATTGCTAAGTGTTATGGCTTCTAAAGGTATTTTGTGGTTTGCGCACATTGATTCTAGATCAATTTGAGGAATGAGTGGTTGAGAAAAAGGCGGCAATACAATAAAAAGGTTTGGATGTAAAAGAGCTGATATACAGATGAGAATGAATACAGAAAGACTGTGGATGTGGAGATGGTGAGAAAACTAAATAAGACTTGATGTGAACAAAGGAGGCAAAAATAAAGAGAACAAAAGTTCAAAGGTCGCAAACAGAAAGGGGGTAAAAGTGGAGAAGATTTTTGGGCCAGAGGAGGCGACCCAGTTACCTGATCGTGTGATAGCTGAGGGAAGATGCCAGAATGCAGCAGAAGAATAGGAGGCAGAGGAGGAGAGCATGCACGGCAGGAGGAGAAAAAGAGAGAGAACAGGGGAAAAGGCAGAAAGACAAAAAAAGGACAAAAGAGGGCAGAAGAAAAGAGAGGTCAGTTTAGATGCCGGCACAAGCTGGGAAGAAAACACACTTGTACCGGATGGTTACAAGGACAGAGAGGAGGGGCACCAAAGCTCTCCATCCAAGGGGGTTAGGAAGAGTTATCAGCAAAACAAACAAAAACCATCTTCCAAGAGAAAAACCAGAGTAGTGTTAATTAAACTGTACATTTAGAAAAAGAGTGGTGTTATCGGTACAAATATACTTTAATTGTCATAATGTAGTAAAGACATGAACTTCTGTATGTTCACTTACCCTAACAGTTTGACAATCATACAGTTTGCTACTTACTTTTGCAAAATAAATATTCCGATGACGACAGCGAAGGAAATTAGGTCTGCAGACACCCACATCAGGCAGTATTCATTTGGCCTCTGAAAGCACATGCATACTGGAATGATACAACTGCAATGTGGACAGTCCACCACCAGATGGAGCCATATTTCTAAAACATCTGCACAAACTAGGGCTGGGCATATCGCTTAACAATGAAATCTGACTTTTTCCTACCAAATCAGATCAACCAATTTTTTTTCCTCCCTTAAGTTTCATAATAAAATTTAAAAATTGCATACATTAATAAAAAAAATTGCTTCTATGTCAATCATCCCCTTTGGTGCGTGACCTAAATTTAGAGGGCAATAAATTCAAGCAACAAGAATGCTTGTAAAATAGTGTTTGTCAAGTTTGTCAATGTCAAGCATTGAGTCATTTTACCACCAGGTTTTTCTTCTAGGATTGTCTTATTTAAGTTCTCTTTCCCTGCTTAAGAAAGGCAAAGTTGGATTTTTTTAATCTCAATGCACGCTTTTAACAACAACCTTTTGGCTTCTAAATGTAGTTAGCTGTGTTCCAATTTATTGAGAGGCATCAGAATAAATGCAAATGAATAACAATATGTTTTTAGATGGTTTATCACATAAAACTACAATAAAATACATTGAAATTTGAGGTTGTAATTAGAAAATAGGGAAGAAGGCTAAAGGATATCAATACTTTTCAAACAATTGCAAGCTGTTATTCAAACAGGGGAATAGGAAGTTTAGGAGTTCCTTTAAATATGTGAATATAAAATAAATTGCTTTTTATATTAGTGTATAGGATATATATTCACTTTTTTTCGTCATTTTTGATTGTTTCCTTTTGTAACTTGTTCAGTATTATAAAGATTCAAGCTGCGTATGTTTTAGGCTTTTTGGGTTGTTGTTTTTTTTTTAACCTTGTGTGCAGTGTTGTTGTGAACGTGTAATTATAAAAGTTACTCATCAATTAAGTGACACCTTAGATGCCAGGCCTGACCAGAGCTTCACAGCCAGAGGCATGATGGTGTGTAAAAACGCTTCAGTAGATATATGATCGAGAAACCCAGGGTTTGAGCAGCTCAGGGGTACGCTACAGGGATGGACCCCTCCTCTCAGAGACTTTAAATGAGTGTTAAAAACTGATAGGGTAGCATGCCGAGAACAGGAAATAAACAAACTGGGCAGTTTTAGCTGAAAGATTAATGGCAGGTTTACTCTATCGAACAATGTTAAAATAAAAAACAACAAATCACATTAGAGTCATTAGAAATGATTCAGTCAGATGATTTGATTATAAAATTCTTACTTTCTTACCTAAATTGAAAGTGCGTATCAATTCTACATCATAAATTCACACCTATTTGTATTAAACTCTTTAAACATTAGTTGGAAAAACCAATCAGCTGTGATGATTTTCAATTTAAATCTCCAGCCTAATAAAGACATTTTACCCATATGAGGCCTCCTACCAGACTCCCATTGGGAGCAGTGAGACCTGCATGAGAACCAAGGTGCCTTCCCTCATGTATATTCTTTGTTTTAAAGCTAATTTCTCAGGATTACTTTTAGTAGAAAATCTCATATTTTCATCTCTGTGTTTGTGGCAGACATCTGTGCTGTAGGTTTGGTCGAACCTCCAAACCAGTGACCAAGAGAAATGCTCCTCTGCATCCTGTTCTATCAATATCTTACTGACAGAAAGTCATATCTTACTAATTAGGGTATTTTTGCCAAAGACCTGAATCGATTCGATTTTGATTCATTCAGTTCTAAATCGATTCATTCAAAATACTCATGTATTTTATCTTTTCCTGTCACATTAAACGCAAAGTGCAAACTTGTAAAACAGACAGTTTAAACTGAAATAAGCCTCACATGAGCAAGCAGATGTGACACAGAGGGGACACAGCAGACATGCATGAGCTGCATTATCTCCACTGCATGAACCCTATTTGCAGTGTTGTCTACAGGGTGTTTGCTGGTCCGCCCCCATTTGTTAATGTCTTCAGTCAACCTATTGGCTATATTTGCATCTATCTGGCTTGAAGTCATCTTGAGTGCATCTTTCCTGCTCATTTGAATGTGACGCGCATCACTATTAAACTAATCGATCTCATTCCCTAGACACCGATTTTGCAAAAATGTAAAGGGATCGATTCAAAATCGATTAAATATTTTTTTTTACCCAGCCCTATTACCAATAGTTATCAATTAAAATATACCCGCTACTCATCTTTAGAATTAAGGAATAGGTGTACTTACAGTTGTGCTAAACATCAGTTATTGGCAGTAATTGTTTTTATTCCCCAATTAATCTAATCTATATATATCCATAATAAATCCATCCATCCACAAAATCAAAATCTTGTATTTCTCTACAATTTAAATGTATGGCTATATAAAACCCAATGATCAATTCTTACCAATAGCCAGATGGGATAAGGCACCTTTTTGAGGATATGTGGGGCCTCTGAGGAGACCGATGCCACCCCGCTGCACCACAGCACTGAGTAGAGCCACGGCTCGTTGACAGTGTACAGAGTAAGGCTGATGTTGTTTCTGGAGTAATCTCTGTGGGCAGTAGCAAACATTTTAGACACTTCACTGACATACAGTTCATTCTGTTTGGCGAATGATAACTAATCAGGGTACTGCGTGTGCACCTACGTGATGTCATTGGTGTTGACTTGGTTGTATCTAAGCAGCAGCCTGCTGATGCCGGAACTTTGCAGATCTTTAGGTGTACGTTTAACCAACGACGTTTGGATGAAACCAGGAGCAAAGCTTTTCACCTGAGCTCTTTCATCATCAGGTGTCCACATCACCTAAGGTGGGTGTGAGAAATAGAACGAGGTAGAAGCAACCCAAAAATTATACGAACTGGCAACAGAGAGGAGTATAGGTTATATCTAAAGCTTTGAGTTTCTAAGATTAGCATTTTCAAGATATAGAACGATATAGTGAAGAATATATAAAATAATTCCCCAGATATTTCCCTCCTACCAGGCTTTGAGGAACTCCAGATTGCTGCACTACTTGCAGCGTATCATTGATCCATGTGGTGTAGCAGGGATGCTCCGGAGGAGGCCTTCGCAACCTGAAAACAACTGTACTGTTGTGAAAGGAGGCCAGCCGTAGGAGCTGCTCCAGGCTGCACACGCTCTGCTTGGCGGTTAGATTCTTCTCCCGTAGCGACATTTTGTTTACAGTCCAGAAGGGATCATACTGAAACGAAGAGATGGGATGAGAGCTCAGAGTGGCATCCACTCTATCCAACTATCAAAACTGTTAGTTACGATTTTTAGTCCAATTTTACTTAAAAAACAACAACATTTGATCTATTTTTTTATATAATCATCTTATTCCAACCATTCACTTTTATTCTCTTTAATCATTTGTGTTTCCTTTATGCCACTGCAATGTACTTTTATTTCCTCTCATGCACAATTCTTTGAATAGTCTTCCTGCTAAAATGTGCAACATAAATACATTTTCCTTGCGTGGCCTGTCATTCATTTCTTAATTTGCAATTGTTTGGCACACTGTATGAATGTTATTGCTTTACTATGCATCGATTTAAAATAATTATATTGGTTATATTATAATGTATTCTAATAATTTGAAAAATGAAAAAATAAAAAAACATTAATTTTTTCGTTATAAAATCCCTGAAACCAAACCATTAAACTTGTGAAGCATAACATCTTCATATCCTGACTACACCTATACTTAACTCTCTGCACTCATCCCTACATTTCACTGTGTTGTGGCACCACCTAATTGGACATGTTTCAAATCTTTTTTGGGGTTGGAGCTACACTTTTATATTGGGTTTATTTACAACTGTCAGAGAGCAATGAATTCTTTTTGAGAAACTGTTCAAATCAATCTGTTTTCTACAAAACATCAACTGCATGCTGGAATCAGGTTAAAATGACTGAATAAAAATAAAAGTTCTTGAATTAATTACTCATTGGTTTAATATGCAGCCAATAACAGATGGATGGCTAAATAAGCTGTACTGGCAATAATTTCACGTGGAAAAAAAATCTCAGTTTCAAAGCAGTGATTTTCCAAAATGTATTCCACATTAACGCTTAACTAAATATTGCACTTTCCATAAACCCTAAAGAGCACATGATGAATCAGTGAGATGGGACACTTTGTACTAATAACAGCTGAATTATGCCTTTAACCACACAACAAAGACAAAAGGGTTTCAAATAAACATAATGACTTAAAAAAAAAATAAAATAAATCTTATTCAGCTAAATATCAGCAACCAGGAAGTACCTTGAGGAACCACTGCCCTGCATTGAGCTGCTGCAGATCTGTCCAGTTAAACTGTGAAGCTTTATCTCTCTCCCTGTCAGGGAAAACCTTTTCCACATCTGTGGTTCTCCGCAGGGTAAGGTCACGCATAAGGAAGGGTACGCCGTCCATACTAGTGAGACAAAGAAAACAAAACACTTTTAGCATCTCTAATAAAACCCCTTTTTAAGCACATTTTTCCATTTTCCTTTTTTTTCCTTTTAAAATCATTCAGAGAATCATCTTTATACTAATTATACAAAAAATACAATCCAATAAAGATTAGGGACTTATTTGTTTGGAATTCCTATCATTTGTCAAATTTAAAACTGAAATTGTTTTATTCCTGTTTGACCTCTTTACTTTATAGGTGGGAAATATTTCTCATAGGTTGACAAACCAGTAGATACTGTACAAGCTTAAATAAAATGCAAAAATAAAAATATGACTTCCTGGTCTGTATTATTTCCTATCCAAATTCTTTGGGGGGGGGGAAAAATCTCTCAAATTTGAATTTCAAATATTGTCAAAATAAAACTGGAATCAGTTTGGTAAAAGAAAACCAAAATAGGAAGCTAATGGGTCACAATTACCACTACAGGTGAAATACTTCCAAAACCAAATCAATATAGTGCATCTCAATTATGTGTGCATTCTGATGCAGGGCCTGCCCCCTCTGGTGTCCTGTAAGAGAAAAGTCTTTACTCTGGTCGTTTTCCAGAATAATGACCCCCCCGCCACCTTTTCAGAAGCCTGCACTAATCACACTTATTCACCTCCCACAAAATCGTATCGACACAAACTGCCATCTGGAGAGGAGTATAGGAAATAAACAGTCAAGCTGTATTGCATTGCAGATAATGAACGACGTCCTTCAAAAACAGTGCAGCAAAATGCAGCATTAGTGCACAACCCTGCACCCGGAACAAGCTAGGAACACTCAACCAACCTCTGCCTCCAACTCTGCACATGCATGAGTAGACATGTGCAGCCACTCTTCACAAATCGTCAGGCAAGTATCAACCCAGTTCATCCAAATGTCTGAGCTCAGCCAGGCAACTTCTATTATGTTGGTGTTGTTATGCAACCATCATTGAGTAGAAAAGCACTGAGAAATTGGCTGGTGAGTAGAATTGGACAATTTGAGCTTGATTGGCTGAGACTGGTGAAGGTCAGAAACAAAAAAATAAAAAATTGGAGTTCTCATTCTCTTTGGTGTGAAAGCTGCAGGAGGAAGGCTTGGCTTTAGCTGCTGTATCCTCCAATTAGTCTTGGGGACATTTTTAGTGGTTTATGACCTCAAAACACAGGGAACCAGAATCTAGGCACATTGGTGTGTTTGGCTTCATTGTGCTGCTGTGTATTGATCATTTGAAGTGTTTACCTTATGGTTACATCAGCCTCCAGTCCAGTGACGTTCATTTGCAGTGCTCGCTGGAAGGACAGCAGCGTGTTCTCTGGAGCCAGCTGAATAGAGTCACCAAAAAGACATAAAAACAATGTCTGCTGTCAGTTAATAACATACAGTTCAGAAAATAGAAAAACCTTATTTTCACAATGTTATTATGCAGGCATAAAAATGCATTATAATACAGAATTCTTGCCCTGAACTTGTGGGAATGTGTGCCAGGGATTGCTCTTTAACTCAGGTCAATGTTATGATCGATACTAAAACATCACTTACTAGAATGGCCCCTCCCTTTAAGACCCTGGGAGCAGCCCGCTACTGGCTGTGAAGCATGGGATAGGAATGCCGCTGGAATCAATAATGAGTCATTCTGGGAAGCTGAGTCCTGTGATGTGAGCTGTTTTTTTACCTCCCCATCATTTTTTATTATTATTATCTCCTAGCCTTGCAGAGACACTCCTTATTTTAGCTTCCACTGACAGGATTGATCTCTGCAGAAATACCCCAGAAAGCCTGGTGTGTCCTAACGGGAGAAACCGCTTTAGCTAACCTGTTTCTTTATTTTTATTTTTGAGTGTTACATAACCGTCAGTGGCACTCCAGGGTGTAAATCCTTCAGCAGCAATAAATCAATGTGTGAGGAACTGATTATAAATCTAATACTGGCCTTTGTTGTACATGAATCTCATTTAATGGAAGTATTTTCAATAAATTCCTCTAAGGCCTTTAAAGTATTAAATGTTAAATCTGTTTATGATTGCTTTAAAATAAAGTGATTGTAGATTTTCTATAAAGATAAAATCACCTCAGTGTTTAATTATTCAATAAATAAACAAATCCTCACTTACTGGCTGTTTTACTGAACGAAAAATAAAAAGAATAAATTATTCAAAGTAAAAAAAATATTTTTTTTGTTTGTTTTATAACAAGTTTTGTTTTGCTTTGTCACAATCTATGAGCCAAAACGGAGCCGACTAACCATGGGGTCTCCTTGATGCCCGAAAACCTCCGGCCGCGGTTTAAGTGAGCTGGGGTCCATAATGCACGGGGAGGTGATGTAAATTGGCAGAAAATAGAGTCCTAGTAACATACTGAGGTACAGCAGCACAACCACCACCTGAAAGACTGGCAGACAGAGCAGAGCAGCAGCAGTTATAGATGTCGACCATATTTTAACTACATAAAGGATTATTTTACAAGAGTTGAAAAGAAAATAGAAATTTCTGTCATAACTGGAAACATATTAAATGTCTTACATTAAGGTATGTATTTTTTATTTTGTCACATTACAATAACAAATTTCAAGTCTTTTATTAATTTATGTAATACAACAAATTAGTAGAGCATTCTTAATGGTTTCCCATTTATTTCATTTTAAATGAAATGTAAAAAAAATTGGCCTTTGTGTGCGTCACATAATTCGTAAACAGAACCAAGCTCTGTGTAATTTAACCTCGAGTATAAATCCAGGTGTTCTGTAAAGGCCTTTGGAGGCTAGAGGAGATTAGTAAAGAAGGATCATCCAGACATTTCAGCTGTAGATTTTTCACTCACAGCAAAGTCTTGTTAAAACAATGCATGAATAAAGGAGCAGTGAAGTGCTTACAGAGGACTGTTCAATCCTTTGGATGTACAGTAAGTTAACAAGGACATTTATTCAGAGGATTAGTCATGGTGGTCTCACAGAGGTCAACAGCTCAGGTGAGATAATCTGTTGACAGTTTAATATAAATATGGCTTTGAGAAATGCCTGATTACTCTGTCCAGACATGCAAGATGCAGCTACTGTAAAGGTAGCGTTATCCTGGAATTAAACTTGTTTTAGACAATTTTAACTTGTGGTGTAGTTTTACTTTTTAACAATGCTGACACTAAAAGTAATGTTAATGTGGAAAAACATTGTTCTAGTCAAAGCCTAGATCTAAATCCAAGTTTAAATCAGCATTAAGGTGAGAACTGCCATTTTGTCTTTGGATGCTCTTGACCCAATCGATTTGTTCCCCTTCCTCTCACTACAATACATAACTTTGTGCTGATTTCCACATAAAATCCTAATAAAATGCCTTCCAGTGTGCGGTTGCTCCACCAAAGCTAACCTGTTAGCATCCTTCAAATCTTCTCTTTAGTCTGCACAGAAATCAGAGTAAAACAATCAATAGTTTTTTGTGCCAAGACTTGTTATTGTAGGAAGAAGCTGCAGCAAAGCTATGAATATTAACTATTATGCTGCAGCCAAGAAGATAGCCCTCAGGATTCAGCTCTGAGTGAGAGAGCGATGATGGCTGTGAATGTGGGCACCCACACAAACCTACACCAACACTCTGGAGAATGTATTTGTTTCAAGGTCAGGTGTGGGGCAGAGCAGAGTGGTCAACTCCTATTACACACAGGGGACTGGTGGACGGCCTTCAGCCACAGGCACATCTTTGCTTTTTAAACACTCTGAATAAACAGCAACGCCAAGTGAGATAACTAGACTAAGTTACTTCTAGATCAACAAATAGCCCCAAAACACAAAAAAATACACAACAATTAAACATCCACTGAATTAAGCATTTCAAAATCATCTATAGGCAAATACAGGATGTAATAATGTATCTAGGACTCTACTGAGCATGGATTTGTTATTAAATATCAATTTCTTCCAAACTTTAAGAAAACCCTTATTCATCCAAGTGAAGCTGATTCTCCTTGTCTCAGTGCCACCCACTTCATTATATCAATATATACCACTCCTAAAGGCTGAAAAAGACCTCTCGCAAGCAAAAAAACTGATTTTCACCAATTAACAGATTCTGCATAATCTAGGCCCTTAACAGGGCGTGATTGTGATCCCATTAAAGGAGCAAAAGGATAAAAAAAAGTAATGTAAGGAACTAAAGTTATCTTTTGCATCACATCTTGTTTTGTTCTACAGATAGAAAGTAATAAAGTAAAGTAATAGACTCAACCTGTGTCTCTATGGAGAACATCAGAAGAGACTAAATGATTTTTTCCTCGCTCACCATAGATTCAGACTCTGGCCTCTGTCTACACATAATTAATCATTCACTATTATGAGTGTGTGAGTATTACAGCAGACAGTCACTCCATGATATTAAAACAAAGCACCCCTATAAAATTTCTGCCACCTCTGGGGAAAAATGTGTCCAAAACCTTGAAATGAACAAATCCGTTTGTCATTTAAAAAAAAAAAGGATTTATCCACAGCGCAGCCATTTTCCATCATATGGGAATCATGTGTTGTGCAGGTTAAAAACGTACTTGTTTTTTCTGCTCTAGCGACTTGTCCAGCGACAATCCATGACAGAGCTGTGGCTGCAGCCAGGGCCCCTATGTGCAGGAAGGGACCCGTAGCCTGGACGGAAAACAGGATACAGACAAATGGAGGCAAAACAAGTAGTGAGTTTAACAAGAGACAAAGCTGGACAAGGCCGTCAGGAATTAAATAACCATTATCAACTCCAGCCTAACAATGACAGATCATTTGTATAAACTTTCACTTTTACACTTCAAAATTTAAAGTATAAGTTAGTCAGTTTTATTCTTGAAATAAGTGGATTTTCCTTTGATTTAAGCAAGTAAAAAAGTCAATTTGCCAATAAAATAAGGTTTGAATTAAATAAAAACAGCTCCAATATCTTATTTTGAGAGCATACCTAATTCTTATTTCAAGTGTAAAATACTAATTGAATTTTAAAATTATCGTATTTACCTGCTCAAATGAAGGGGAAAAACACTTATTTTCATTTTCGATCAGTCTTTGCAATGTAAAGACTACAGTAACCAAGGAAGATTTATATCTAATACATATATATCCATGCATGTCTAAAACTTGATAATTCATTAAAACTAACAAGCTTGTCATATGATATTGATGGGAATAAGTTATTGAACATTATGTGGATCAAATGTCATAAAGATCAAACATTACTTCTTTTCTGTCACTACTAATTGCAATGCCATAAACAATAAAAAAACTTCTTCGTGTCTTTTCTATTAACATTTTGCATCACAAATTTACCTTTGCACTGAAATACCTCATCATGTTTATAGAATAATAATCAACAAAGCTCTTTAGGGAATAATCAACAAAGCTCTTTAGGGAATTATATCTGACCTGCAGCGAGATGGGGACGACATCCCACTCTTGTCCCCATGTTTGATTGACTGATACGATCCCAATAATGGTGGTAAGCAAAGCTGCAGTTACTCCTATCTGTGCACACAAAATGAGAGAGGAAAAACAAACAAAGATAACAGCTAAAGTATATGTGTAGCATCTGCTAATTTTTTTGAACTTGTTTACAGCCACTTCACTGAGCTCCAAGTCCGCAGCTAAGATTGAGAGTTTAGGATGAGCCAATAAGTTAAATTGAAATAAATTAAAACATTTGGAAAAACAAGATGAAAACACAAACCTACGCAAGTCACAACTCAGATAAGCATATGCAAAAATCATCCACCCCCATGCAGCTTTTCACAGTTACACATATAAATATACACTCGCCCAGTCTCGCGTTTTGCACAATACCTTATGAAGCCAGTGCAAATTCAACTGTTGCCCAAGTGCAACATGGCAAAGTGCTAAAACCTGAAAAGAAAGGAAGAACAAGGCAGACCCACATTGAATAAAACCATATGAAACTACGCCTTATGAGTTCAACAGTCTTAAAGAGAATGTACTGACCATTAAAAACGAAACGTAGGTGAAGCCGGCGGCAGTTGTGGCTAGGATGGGAACAGTTCCATCAGTCCACTCCCCAGAGCGGTTGTACAGAAACCTGCAGAACCAAAAGAGTTAAGGTTCGTTAAAAAGAAAGAAAAACAAATAAGTATGAAATTTTATTGCTTTTTATTGATTTCATTTAAAGCGACAGTCAAAATGGCCTCTTTTATAATCAGACTTTATCTAATAAGCCTGAAGTAGCATAATTGGATGGTATGTGCTTGGTAATCTCACAAAGCTTAAACCTAGAGAGGGTAGTGAAAGTGATTTTCTGTTATTTCATTAAAGATCTCCTAGATCATAAAAGTGATTCTACTGCAGTATTTTGGGGTTTTATTAATGCTATAAGTGATTCTCTTAGGTGGGAGTTCTGGTGTTACATTATCTCTCAAGGCAAGTTCCTTTTTAAGGCTATTATAAGCAAATTATACAACTCTGGAGGCCACAGATTCATTAGTTCTTGAAAATTTCCTTGCAAATGAGATACTTTTAGAGCTTTAATAGGGCAACAAAACACTCCTTTCGCTATATTTATAGAACTATTTTAATTTTAATCCTGTTCTCTTATACACACGTCACACATAAATATATTTTGCTCACAGCTGTAAAGCTCCTGACTGTTACAGCCAGTGTAAATACACACATAGCTGCTAAATAAAAAGGCACAGGCGTGTGTTCGGTCATATCAGCCAAAGCTCTAAGTATTAATCGCATGTAAAGCCTTATCAGTGATTTAAGAGGAACAAAGCCTCATATGGAAGCTGCTGCAGATGGGCTGGGAGTCTCCCTGAAGGGAGTCTCCATAGAACATACAATGAAGCAGAGATGTCATTGCTCCGATTATCTGAGGGAAGAAAAGGAAATTGGAAGGAAAAAAAAAAAAAAAGAGGAAGCGATAGAAACTGAAAACGCTGAGTCACTGATGATGAAAAGTCCCCAAGCATCAATTTGGGAACCTTAAAAAAAAGAAGTAGGAAAAACCGAAAGCAAAAAAAGGTCAACATTGGAGGAAATTTCACCTACTACAATAATAGGATGTACATGCAGCGCCAAAGAATGGAATAGAAAGGAAGGACGTTATTGGAGAGAGAAAGTGACTTTGCAGATGTCCCTGAGGGTGGGAGGCTGGGGGTTGGGAGAGGACGAATGAGTAGTAACCATTGTCCACCACAGGATGATAAATCTATTATAAAATACACAGGCTTGAAATAGTATTCATCTCTCTTATCATGGTTTTGCTTCCCCCCTTTCAACAATTTCATTCAAAGAACATGCCTTAGTGTCAAAGAAAACATTTTATTTGAGTACCATCTGACCATAATAATAATAATAATAATAATAATAATAATAATAATAATAATAAGTAAGGTTTCCTAAATCCTGGTTACCATCAAATTCAACAACTCAAGGACTTTTAGGACAAATCCTCTCAAATTTAAGGACCACACAATGTTACTAATAAATTATTTCAATACAATGCTAATTGAATAAAAAACTGAATGGCATAGATCATGGAACAAGGTCAAAATTCATTTAAAAATCAATTAACTATAGAGCCTACATTCTAACAGATAACACTAAAAGCCTACAGGTACAAGGTAACCCTTCTAAGGGTTGCCCTTGTTCCTGAGCTACCAACTTGATTAAGGACATCCTAACCCATGTCTGTTGGCAGGTTAGTTATGGTACCGTGATCTTCCTCTGGGGAGGTGATTGATTGGATGGCACTATGAGAGCATCTTAGACCTGGATATTTGTTTATAACCCCACCCTCACTTTTATATCCCATTAACTTTCTCCCTGACATGTTTAGGGAGCTCCTTTATTGTTGTTTTTTTCTGTGATGCCTCCAGCTTAGTGGCTGTGCAGCTTCTGGGGCCTTTCAGAAAAAGTGGGCTTATATTGGTTAATCGTACGCCACTCCAACAAGTGACCAATGATAACAGGACTTCAAATGGCAACTGGTTAGACCAGAACCTTTTAGGGATTCCTAGCAAATGTGTTGGTACAAATCTACATGCCAGCTGTCTGGGCTTTGGTTCTTAATTTTTTCTTTTAATAAACATGTATTTTGTGAATTCACATCAGTATTTTCTGCCAATGCATCACACAAAATCTGCTTAAAAACATTTAAAGAGCAGGTTGGAATGGAATTAAAAGTGTGAATAGGTCATGGGTCATAAATATAAAGAAATCACAACTAGTTAGAAATCAATAAACTGTAGCAGATGCTCTACAAGGAGTACATTTTTTTTCCATCCAGTCATCAATATTTAATCTTCTTGTTTCTTTGGTAACATGAAGATTTATTAATGCATTAATTATACCAACAAAAATAACAAAAAAACTTAATAAATGTGCTTATATGAAGGCTTATTGAAAGGTGCAAGAAAAACTAGTTCATATGTCATTGTGTAAAAGGTATTTGTTTAACTAAATGTCAGGCTGAGGGATGTGCAGTACAGGAAGTGTTGGATGAGTCGCGCCTCTTATGTAAGGTTTAATCTGAGCAGAGACCACCCAGCCCTCCATAGATTACAGAGATTAACCCCCTGATTTAGGAAATCCCCAGTCAGAAAGTATGACCAGAATGTTCCAAGTCAAAACAATATGTCGGCAGGCTCCTGGCTTAAAGTAGGACCTAATAAACCAAGGAGCGAAAAGGCTTATGGAAAACTCACCAGTTGAACTCGTTGTAGTCATTGTCCGCCTCCCACCAGAAGTAGGACCAGACGAACAGCAGGAAGAAGGTGAGGAGGAGGATGAGAGACCACAGAAGCTCCCACTGTTTGTTAATGAAGAAAGAAAAAAAAAACACAATCATTCTTGGACTTCTGCCACATTGTTTCAGGTAACAACTAACAATATAAGTAATTATATGCACTGATGTGGTAGCCCTGAAATTTGTTTTCAACAACATCTTTAAAATTAAAATGCAATAAAGCAAAGAGGATGTAGGAAACTTCTAGAAAGGAAGACATATGAAAATGCAGTAAGAAATCAACAAATAACATGACTCTTCTGATGTACAGCAATGTCATTTTTTTTTATGCTCTTGAACGGACCACATCTACCAGTAAGGAGTTATTCTAGATCAGGAAATGTTAGCAAACTAGATCAGGCTGTAGCTACACCTCAGAATGTGATGTTTAGTTACTGTAGGGCTGGACGATATAGCCAAAGCTTTTATTATGACTTTTTTTTTTTTTTTTTTTTTAGTCGCTATGACTTCATTTCCATATAAACATAAACAGAAAAAAAAAAACTATGACTAAACTTGTAGGAATGCCTAGAGCAAATTGTGATAACAAAATCACAATTATTTTGGCATGTTTATAAAACTACTCAAATAACATTTTAGAAATATTTGCTTTTAAAAACAGAACACATAAATATATAAAACCCCGAACATCAGACAGAGACATAAGCTATAATCATTGGTTGCAATATACATTAAAATATTAGGGAGGTCATTTTGTTATGGAATAAAATCCTTTTTGCGATATGTAGTGGAATGGCTTTTTAGTTTTGTCCTATATTTATTGTTAGTACAGTCAGCCATGTTGATCCCTCAAGCAGGATACTGGAGACAGCATTTATCTTTATTTCAAAATAAAAAGTGTTAACTGCAGAGCTGACTAACAGGTGTGCTGTCTCACACACACACGGCGAGACGTCGCCTTTGGTCCGAATATAAATAATTATTTATGAAGGCTTTTTTTCTCCTCTTAAAGGCAAAATTGGACACAGCTGTTCTCCATTTTTTTCACAGATTCTGTCAAGATATTGCATATCCTGAACGTAAAGCACATTACAAGCATTAGTGAGCTATATAATCTGTCCTGTTGAGCAGTAAATAAGGACCTCTGTAATTCAGCTTATTTGGGTTTTATTTGTATGGATACATCTATAGCAGGGGTCTTCAACGTTTTCCAGGCCAAGGACCCCCAAACTGATGGCTAGATGGAGCAGGGACCCCCTAATTATATATATTGTATGAAATTGTGTTATAGCAAACTGGTCTGTTAGTCACTCTTTTACATATGGAATAATGTAACAAAAGTAATTTCACCCCGAGATTATTAAAGTATGTCTGATTCAGATTTCTGGTTAATGGGACAGGTGTTGTGAATGAAACGGTGCCCAGCTTGAAAGAGCTCCTGTGTGTCGCTGAATGTTTGCATTGATGACTGAAAGACATCTTCTGCCTCCATTTATCTGTTTACTAGTGTGTGTTGAATTTACGTTAATGTGTATTTAAAGACATTTCAATTAGTGGAAAAAATTGCAGGAGGGAATATAAAAAAAGTCTAATCAACCAAACTGCGCCCAGATGCAGTACCATCGCGGACCCCCTGTTGCAGACCTCCGATCTATAGTGTTTTATAGTGATTTGATCTGTTCACTGGATAGAAAAAAAAAGGTCTTCATATATAGTTCTTGAAGCAGCTTTGCAGGTCAGAACTGAACAATTTGCTTCGACTGGAGATCCAGCACAAAAATCTCTGATTGGTGGATCTTCAGTTTGCGACACATATGCCACATTGGGTATATTCATCCTAATGAGATCTGCAGCTTAAACTTTACAGAGGAATATGCAACACTTGAAGTTAATTGCTATTTTGATTAGAACATAAAGTCAGTCTGATAACTGACCTCTGCTGAGAGTATTCCCTTCTACACTCTGCTCATTATTAAAAGAAAAACTTTAATAACCTCACACACTGCCCCAACTTATTGCTGTCCTTATCACTGTTGCACTGTGGACATTGGAAAACTTCCTCTTTTACAGAAATAATTCAACATGGGGGCTAAACTTGAGAAGACACGTGCATGCGGGCATTAAATACATTATGTTTATAACTTGCTAATCTTTTGACCCCTTTTTCATACAAGGGGAACAAAAAAAAAAACACTGCCTGTCATTTCCTTTGGAGCATGCACAATCCGCCAAATGAATTCATAATCTTATCAGATTCCATGTTTATGGGCAGCTCTGACTGCAGTGTCAAGATAAAGTCACTCAGTTAAGCAGGCCAACCATATGGGCAGAGCTCTGCTGAGTGCTGAGGATCTGATCCTGATATCCTCAGACAGCTGAAGTAACACCCAGGTAACACAGCCTGTCTGGCCTGCTTTTATTCGGTATTAAACCCAAAATGTGTGTGTGTGTGTGTGTGTGTGTGTTTCTGCACGTTGAATGAGGGATTATTAGGGTTTTTATTTGATCGTTTACCTAAATCGGGAAATAAAAGTGATCAAGGCCTTCCTCTCACTTCAGCTTTTAAATGAGGTAATGAAAGAATGTTTGTGGTCCAACGGCACAATGTTTTATACAAAAAGGGAAATGGGAGGGGAGTTTGTAAGAAACAGGATTACATTTCTTTGAATTTAAACCACAATATGGTCCTCATATGAATATTCCTCATATCCTTACTAGTATATATTTGCATGCATTCACCAATTCATTAGTGCATTCAGCAGCCATTTCTTGAGATCATGTGGGGTGCATGCATTGCTGCTCCCTCCAATTGCTCCCCATTGTTACTGTGGTTTCTTTGATTTGTTAAAAATTATTTCTTATTGTTTGAATTGCAAAACTTAAATGTCCAATCTAGATTGAGTTTTTTTTGCAGTTATTTATCATACCTAAAAGACAAAAAAATAAAAATAAATCTGCAATCAGAAAGACATTGCTTAAAATAAAGGCCCTCTTACTAAAAGAAACAGTCCAGTTTTTGTTACAGTGAGACTACAAGACTGTCGGTGACAGCCTCCCTCTACATCAGCACCAGTTTCCATGATCCTTAATCACAACTGGACAGGCGACCTTGTTCCCAGAGAGGACATTGTTCTCCCTTTCAACCCTCCAAGCACATGATTTCCTCTGGATAAAGATAGAGGACACCTGGGAAATCTATGACGCTCCAGTCAATACAGACGGCCCAAAACACTCTGATCTATAGTAAAACCCTTTTATTTTAGGGATTTGGGGTCAAACCAAAACCAGCCTTCAATTATTGACACAGTTACTACTGCTACTACTACTACAAAAAATAAAAACATAAATAAAAATGTTAAATCTTTAAAATCAATATTTGTTGAGAAAAATTGATGAGCCAAGATGTTACCATTTACTGCTGAGCATATTAAAGGCCCCTTGCTACCTCCTCCTCCTGCTTGCAGAGTCCTGAGGTGAGCTAAACCTGGATTCTCATCAATCTTCACTGTTCTCCACAGTCCCCATTGTAAAAAAAAAAAAACATTTTACCAGTTACTCTGACGGTAAATATGGGCAAGCTCGAAATGTTTCCAGACTCGTTAAAATTAACAATCTCATATCAAACTTGAATGCTTTGTTCTTTCTTTCTAATTTGGAGAATTATAGAAACTGCCCTACATGTCCAAACATATTTCTACACTAGGAAAACAGAAACGTGTGGATTATTATTAGGAAGTTCATTTAGGGTCTGATCAATATAGAAAGTTAAATATAAAAATAAAATAAATTTATAGGTTTAGAGTAACTGTGTTGCATTAGATGAAGCAAAGGGAACCCTTTGAGTTCAGGCCTCTGATCTAAGAACTAAAAAAAACAAAAACAAAAAACTTATAGTATTCTCATCATTCCCATTTTATTTCTGCATGACAACAGACACGTTTTGTTAAACTGTAAAAAAAAACCTCTTGTTCTTTAATTTTTTTTTTTTCTCCCACACTCAGCGGTAAAGCAGGCTGACATGATTTGATCTGCCTCAGTTATTTCACATCAACTTTCTGCATGAATGGCTCTTTATTCCATTACTGGAACAAATACATGGCACTGTCAGAGCAACAATATATTATAAAAAGAAGTATATTCAGACCATAATATAAACTATGGTTCTGATTGTTATACAAAAATTATAAGATTAAATGTATCAAGGTAATGAAAGGTTATTTTCAAATAATTTGGAGACTGCAATCATCTATTCTAGACTAGGTTTCTTTTACAACTGAAATGTTTAAAATATCCAAAAATACTTATCTATAAACCCAAAATATTAAGATAATATGAGTGCACCACATTTGAAATCCATTATTCATGACTGCATCAAATGCATTATGGTTTTGCTGATGTGGTACTTGTTAACACTGCAGATAAGGAAGTTTAGAAGCTTATAGATTTTTGCACTTCAATTTGAAAGCTACAGAAACAATATAGAAAATAATCAGGGTTTATACAGGAATGAGAAACTTTAATTTAATGCTTTTTAATGCTCTTTTAATGCTCTTAAAAATCATTTTAATGTAACAAGTACCCATGACTCGTATATACACAGCAAATTCCTTCTTAATCTTTACTGTCGGCAGGCTGCAATTCCTCGATTTTCAGCCAGTTTTGTTTAAATTAGCATTTTCCCCCCATTCTACAGCTTTTTCTCCGCTTTGAGCTTCTTTTCTGAACATACGGCTTGACGATCAGCAGGAAACAGTTCCGCGCAAATATATCGAGATACATTTACAAATATATACCATTTAAGTAATAGTTTAACTTTTAATTTAAAAAAATAATAATTTAATGACTTTTAATGATTTTTAATAACCCTGATAATTATATTAGAATGATTGATGAGCAGTATGGTTGGACCGTTACTGTGAAAGTATACCATCTAGAAAAAAAAAAAAAAAAAGCTTATAATTTAATCAAGGTAGCTGGTTGTTTCTTAATGCCCCTCCCCTTCTGTTTCTGCACGCTGCCAAACACCTCTCTTCCTTTAAAGGCAGGCAATGTTGGAAAGTTAC